AAAGTCGGCGGCCGCATGCTGGAGGACGGGATGCTGACCTGGTAGAGGCTGGGAGTCCCGCGAGCGAAGCGGCAACACGATATTGAATGAGAGATGTGGCCGGCGCCTCGGCGAGAGCACGGGGCCCAGCGAAAGCTGTCTTCTGTTTCCGCCGTTTGCCCTCCCCTCCTCCTGCTCCTCCGTGCCCTCCTTCCGTCTTCCTGGGGCCCCTCCTGTTTCTCGCAATCTTCACCGTTCCTTCCTCTTCCTCCTTTTTCTCCTCCGTCCCGCCTCCTTTTCCTTCTCTGCCACGCGGGCCCATTCGGCGCGCGGGCCAGCCGAGCCAAGGACGACGGCTCAGGTCAATCAGAGTGTAATGAATTTGACGGCTCTAAGACTGAGTGGAGCTCCTGTTGGTGCTTTTGTATACCATCGGAGGGCCTTCTTGGGCTGTCCTGGGGCCCTCCTGGGCTGTCTGGGGGGGCTTGGGCCGTCCTGGGGCCGTGTTGGGGCTCTCTCGGGCCCTCTCTGAAGCATCCCGTGGCTCTGTTGGGGCCCTCTTGGAGGTCTTTTAGGGGTCTTTTGGGCGCTCCCTGGCTTTCTTGGCGCTTTATTGGCCCATCTTGGGGCCCCATTGGGCCGCCTGGAGGCCATCTCGGGGCGACCTCGGAAGCTCGCAAACCATTCTTGGGCCGTTCGTGGCCAGAAAAGGCGAGAGGCACCGAGTTGTTCAAAAACCAATGGAAAATTAAGGTTTTTGGCCTGCTGAGGCCGAATTGGAGGTCTTTGCGGGGGCATCCTGGGCCGTCTTGAGCCCATGTTTGGTCTTGTTGGAGCACTCTGGGGCCGTCTTGGGGCCTCTTGGGCCTTGCAGAGGACGTCTCGGAAGTGTCTTCTGCTGTCTTGGGCTCCCGATGTAGGCCTCGTGTCGCTCTCTTCGGGGTATTTTGGGCCGCCTCGAAGCATTGTGGGGCTCTCTTGGGGGCCTGTGGGGTTCATGTGGGGTCCATGTGGGGGGGGGGGTGTCGGTGACATGCCGGGTTTTTCCTTGTAATTTGATAGGTATAAGGAACGTGTATACTCACAAGATTGCATTGGCGCTTCGAGCCATGCACCTTGGTCCTGGAAGTTCTGTATGCAGGCGGAATGGCAGGAAGGCCGAACAGACAGTTGAACGATAACTCATTGCTGTTTTTCGGCATTGCCGTTATAATGATGTTGTTCGGTATCCTTCCTCCACGATTATGTTTCTTTATTCTCGTCCTACCCTGCGAATTCTCCTCCATCCTCAGCTCTTTTGCGGAGGCTCCTTCTTGGAGAGCCTCTGGGGGCCTCATGGAAATGTTTCAAGCTTTTTAGAAGGCCTTCTGGAGGCCTCCTGGGCGTCTTCTGGGGGCGTCTTCTGGGGGCCTCTGGGGGCGTCCTTGGGCCACCCTGCCTCCAACCGCGGTTTCCCTGAACGACCAGATCACGATTTGGAATGCTTCGGGGGGTGTCTGGGGGCCATCTTGGGCCGTCACTGGGGCTTTCTGAGGCCATCTTGGAACCCTGTTGTGCCGTCTTGTGGCCCTCTTGAACTGCCTGAAAGCATTTTCGGATGGTTTTGTTGCGATTTTTGAGCCCTCCCAGGCGGTCTCGGACGCCCAGAAGACCGAAGGACAGGGCATTCCAAAACCATGCCAAAAAATATGTGAAATCAATGTTTTCTGCGTTGTGGGATGTTTTGGAAGCCTCTTGGGGGTCTTCTTTGGGTCGTCTTCGGGTGTCTGGTGGGTGTCTGAGGCCTCCTGGGGCCCTCGGGGGGGCGTTCGGCCGCCCTCCTGACTGATTTGGGCCAATTGCCTAGGGTCACCGGAGGGCCCCAGGGGCCTGGGATTCGGGGGGTCCGCTTTCGGGGGGGGGGGGGTCCCGGGAAGGAAAAACACAGACACAGACACAGACACAGACACAGACACAGACACAGACACAGACACAGACACAGACACAGACACAGACACAGACACACACACACACACACAAACACAAACACAAACACAAACACAAACACAAACACACACACACACACACACTTGCACACTTGCACACTTGCACACTTGCACACTTGCACACTTGCACACTTGCACACTTGCACACTTGCACACTTGCACACTTGCACACTTGCACACTTGCACACTTGCACACTTGCACACTTGCACACTTGCACACTTGCACACTTGCACACTTGCACACTTGCACACTTGCACACTTGCACACTTGCACACTTGCACACACGCACACACGCACACACGCACACACGCACACACGCACACACGCACACACGCACACACGCACACACGCACACACCCACACACACACACATATATATGTATATATACACATAGGAATATAAATAGAGAGAGAGAGAGAGAAAGAGAGAGAGAGAGAGAGAGACAGAGACAGAAACAAGAGCCCGTTTCTTTATTGCTTGGGGCATGACGGGCGTCATGGCCCCCGCTCCCCCCCCTATGACGTAACGCTCCCCCCCCAAGTGCGCTCCGGGCACTGCCGCCGTGCGCATTGGGATCTGCGTAGGTATCCGCGTAGGAATCCGCATAGGTGTATTGTCCGCAGGCGTCGTCGTCGTCGTCGTCGTCGGTCGTCGTCGCTTGTGGTTCGTCGCTCGTCGCTCATCGTCGTCGTGCGCGCGGACGCGGCTGGAGCCTGTTTTTAACTCGGGCCGATGACGGCAATCATCTGGGGGGGTCGGAGGGGGTTGATGACGTCACGTTTCCCGCCGGCGGCGTCTGGGAATGCTTAGGAATGACGGAGGACGGGTAGCACGAACATGTAGGTGGCGAGAGGCGATATGCACCACAACGCCTGTGTACATCACAGTGCCCGCGTGCACCACAACGCCTGTGTACACCACACCGCCGATATACACCACAGCAGCCGCGTGCAACACAGCGTCAGTTTGTGCCACCGCGCCTGCGGGCACAGCAGCCCTTGTGTACACCACAGCGCCTCCGTACACCACATCAGCCGTGCGCAACACAGCACCAGTGTACACCATAATGCCTGCGTGCGTTGCAATGCCTGTGTACGCCACGGCGCCTGTGTGCACCACATCAGCCGTGTGCAACACAGCACCATTGTTGTGTATAGAATTTCAAAAGGAATCCTTGTGACAAAATGGAGCGCGTGTGGATTCCAGAGAAAACAATGGAATACAAATCCTCATGGACAAAGAAGCGCCGCTGGAATCTACGAGTCCCCCCGAGTCCGCCCGCATCACCCTAACTCCCATTTGCGTCCAGGAGGCTCCAGCTAAACTGGCCGTCCGAGAACCAAGTGGACCGATTCAATCGACCATTCTGCGGTGCACGCTGAAATGCGCACGCGCGTTGTAACGCCAAGCCGCACGACAGGGGGTAAGAGGGAGAAAAAGGAGGAAAAGGAGGAGGAGGAGGAGGTGGAGGTGGAGGGGAAGGGAGGAGGAAAAACGTCGCAGTCGATTCTCAGAACTTTCCTCGCATGGCGTTTACTTGTCCGCAGCAGATCCTGACGTACATGCTCCTTCTACCTGTCCTATGCACGCAGGCACTGTGGTGTACACCGGCATTGCGTTGCACGCGGATTCTGTGGTGTAGACAGGCGCTGTGGCGTGCACAGGCGCTGCGGTGCACGTAATCACTGTGGTGTACACAGGCGTTGTGTTGCACATGGCTGCTGTGGTGTATGTACACCGGCGCTGCAGTGCTCCCAAATATTGTGGTATACGCGGGCGGTGCTTTGCGCACGGCTGTTGCAGTGTACGCAGGCGCTGTGGTGCACACGCGCGGTGTGGTGCACGCGAGCGTTGTGGTGTACACAGGCGCAATGGGCAGATCGCCACTTACATGCTGCTCGCGTCGTCGTCGTCGCTCGTCGCTCGTCGCTCGTCGCGTCGTGCGCGCGGGCGCGGCTGTGGTGCCGGAGCCACACGGCGGGGGAGGGGGCGTCACGTCATACCCCCCCCTCCCTCCCCCCCTCCATGACGCCCGTCATCGCCGAACATAAAGAAACGCGCTCCAAGAAAAAAGAGAATGGGAGAAAGAGAGAGAGAGAGAGAGAGAGAGCAGTCGAACATTTTTGCTTGGCGCGTCGCGTCGCTGGATTTGGCCCTCCACGCCTCGGCGTGACGCGCAAACCACGCCCCGGTCGCTGAGGGCCCCCGCCCCGGGCCTCGGGCGAACCCTCCCGCCCCGCGGAGCGCAGCGGAGCGACGCGCTCTCCGCTCGCAGGGCACGGGGCGTCGCAGGGGCCGCCGCCGCCGCGAAGTGCTAAGCAGCGGGTCTCGGCCCGAGAGAGCGGGAGCAGCCGAGGGGTCCCCCCTGGGCCCGGCGGGCGCCCCTGCGCGGGGGGCCCTCTCTGTTGTCCGCGGTGCGGGCGGGCGGCGGGCGGACCTCCGCTGGGCCCTGCGCCCGCCCGCCCGCCCCGCCCTCCCCCCCTCCCTCCCTCCCTCCCTCCCTCCCTCCCTCCTCCCTCCTCCCTCCTCCCTCCTCCATCCTCCTCCTCCCTCCTCCCTCCCCCCCCCTCCCTCCCTCCTCGCCCTCCCCGCCTCCCGTGCGCGCGCGACTGGGGGGGGGGGGGGCCCTCCCTGTTCCCCTCCTCCTCGCCAAGGCAGCACGAGTTTGGAGCCGCTGCCAGCTCGCGGGGGGCCTCGCAGGGCCCGGGGGCCGTCCAGGCGCGGCCCAGGATGGAGAGCCGATCCCAGGGAAGGGGTCGGGGCCTCTGCTTGGCATCGCCCGTACCTGTGCATCCTTTTGGAGCGAGGGTCATCGAGGAACATCCTGGATCATCTTGCCCCAACCAAGAAAAAAACACGCACAACTCCGACAAGTGCACGGGGAATTGACGTCCGGGCGATGGCCAGCCTGGGGGAGCCGTCGCCGTGGAAAGATCACGGCGCCAGAGGTCTGGGTCTGCGCGCGCACGCCTTGGGGGGCTGGTGGCCGGAGGAAGATCGCGAGCAGAGGGTCGGAGGAGTGGCCCTCCCACAGGCCGCCGTGCCGTGACCTGTGATGGCAGGACTGCGAGGGGGCAAACGCCCGCGCGCGCGGGCGCCTCTTCGGGTGTTGCTAGAAGTGGCCCTGGGCCCAGGTGCCCCCAGAATCTGCGAGGAGGCCACCAAGGCCTCCAGAGCACCCCTCACAGGGCCCAGAGGGCCCCAGGGGCTCCAAGATGGAGCGAAGAGCTGGGGGCACCATGGGCCAGGGGTACCTTTCGCACCCCCCGAGCTATCTCTCTCTCTCTCTCTCTCTCTTCAGCGTCGCGATCCGCTCCGGGCCCCCCAGGTGGGGTCCGAGCAGGTGGGGCCGGGGGATCGCGCCGCACCGCCGACGCATCGCCGATGCGGCTCGATGAGGAGCCTGCTTCTCTCCACGCCGAAGGCGCCGACGCACCGCCGACGTTGCCGATGCACCGGTGATGCATCGGCGATGCATCGGCGGTGCGGCGCGATCCTCCGACCCCGTCCAGGAGGCTTCTGTCTGATCAGAGCCGTCGGAGGGCGCCGGCTGCGGGGCGCTCCAGGGAAGGGCATCGCCCTGGGCGGTCCCGGCCCGCAGCGGGGGCTCCGACGGGAGGCGGCGGAAGGAAGAGGGCGGCGGGCGGTCGGCGGAAGGCGCCGGGAATGGTGAAGAGACGTCAACACTGATGGATTCTAGATTACTGCGAAGGCCTTACGGCCGGTGCCGCCGACCCTGAATGGCGACGACGACGACGACGACGACGACGACGACGACGACGTGGGCCTCTTGGGAAGCTCTTAGGGGCCGCTTGGAAGCCTCGTGGGGGCCTCTTGGGGCTTCCTGGGGATTCTAGATTATTTGGAGTTGGTTCACTTGGGCGCTGGCCGAAAGTTCGGTTCGCGCAGTTCACACGGAACTGGTGCGACCGGCGTTTCGGGAAGATGCTGGGAGCTTGGCCAGATTTGGGGCCTTGGAGAGGGGCTCTTAACTGACGTGTTGCCCGCGTGCACGCCTCTGCCAGCAACGCCAACGTCGGGAACTTCTGCCCACGTGCACCCGCACTGATTCTGGCCAGGCCCATCCTGGCCAAGGATCGGTGTATTAGCTGATCGTGGGCCCGTGATGGGCGTGGCCAGGACCGATGTGGATATAGTGTTGGGCGTCCTCTTCTGCAGACGTTCATCAGGCCCCCCTTTTGGGTTTGGGGCCGAAAGCGATATATGGGACGAGACGCCAGTCCTCGTGGACGTTCTCTGGGTTCTCAACGTCTTGAGCAAATCATCCCAACATCGGAGGTCTGGGCTCCATGAAGCCCGAAGACACCCACTGGGGTGCAGTCCGCTCCTGCAGTTCCCGAGTGGAGTAGGTTCCTTGATCGGAGGAGCGCTCAGATCTGACACGTTGCGATTGGCGTCTAATGAATTATACGTGGTAGCACTACCGCAGACCAGAGTCAAAGGGCGCCCATCGTCGTCCATAGGAGCCCGTTGCCTACCACCCATCTAGCGCGGAGAGAAGTAGCATTGAGGGCCTGCCTGGCAATCGATCCTCTGTTGACCTCTGTTTGAACCTTGTCTAAACCCTGATTGGAAACTGAGAACATGCTTTCAGGAAACCTGACAATTCAGAGACAACTCTTGGGAAAGTGCCGGGGAATCCCGAATCTCCGAAGAAAGTCCCAGGGACAATTCCAGGGAAACTCCAGGGGAAGCCGGAAACTCAGAACACACTCCTATCAATCTCCCGGAAAACTCGCGGGAAATCTGGAAACTCTGAAAACAATTCAGATCAAATTCTTGGAAAATTCCCAGGAAATCCAGAAACTCAGAAAAATCCGATCAAACTCACACGAAAATCAGGAAATCCGGAAATGAAATTTCGAATCAAACATTCTTGACGAAAACTCCCGGGAAATCCGGAAACTCCGACTCCCAGGAAACTTCCAGAAAGTTCGAAAATTCTTAAACACATCGGATCAAACTCCCGGAAAATTCTTGGGAAACCGGGCAACTGAGAAACAACTCCCAGAAAAGTTGCCGGACAATTTTCAGAAAAGCTGGAATCTCAGAAAAATGTCCGAGGACAAATTCCCAGAAAATTCCCAGAAACTAAATCAAAGTTTTGTTTTCAGAGTTTGAGGCCAGAGCTTAATCAGAGTTTGAGTTTTATCGGAGTTTGGGGCCAAAGGTCAATTTGAGTTTCAACCGAGCCTTTCAGAGTTTTGACGGCTCGGGTCGGATGTCCAATTTGCTTACATACAATGAGGATTTTGCGGTTGGTGGGGCTCTAATCTGGCGCAACGCGGTCGTTCACATTATATCAGTAAGAAGCCGAACCAAGACACCAGAAGCATTGCGGCACGTAATCAAGCGCAGCCGCAGGGTTCCGCATTCGAACTGACCAGAGCACCTTGCATGGCATTTGATCGGATTTGATCGTCGGTGTGTCCGACGGCATCGTCGAGGCTCGCTGTAATGTGCGCAACTGACGTGTAGTCAAAGCCCGCTGCCGCCCCGACGCCTGGCTTTGAGGCCCACCAGGCGCAGGACTGCGCCGCGCTGAATACGGCATGGTTCTGGGATTGACTTCGCACCGACCAGGGGCCCCCACGACGCCGTGTATTTTCGCAACGCGGGCCCCCGCGGAGAGCTCTATAGTCCTCCCCCAGGACCAGCTCTGCGCTCATCCCGAATCGTACCCCCCCAGATGCGAACAAAAAGATACCCATGCCTCCCGTCGCGAATCTGTCACGACGCGAAGTGGTTGGGGACAGTCCCCCTCACTAAGCCAATCGCCCCCCCTCTCTTCCCCTTCGAAGCCCCGTCAAATTCGATCCCCGGCCCTCTCCTGGGGTCGTGCTGCGGCCGTTAAGGGCGGAGGGCCAAAAAGGTGGGAGGTTCGATCCTCGAACCGTGTCTCCCTCCTCCCTCCTCTCCCCTTCTCTCTCTTCGATCCTTGAGCGTCAGAGCTTCGGACCTCCCCTCCTCTCTCCCTCCCCCCTTGCTCCCTCGAGGGGGGCGAAAAGTCCAGGCCTCCGCGACGTCGTGCAAGTTGTCTCATGGCGTGGGCCCTCAGAGGTTTCGACTCCTTCCTTGGGACAGGTTTTTTCATCCCGAGTCGTCGTTCGATTCATGACGCTGTCCCAGGGCCCAGTGAGAGCTCCTGGAGGAGGGGGGGGGGCGAAAGCTGTCAGAAACCGTCCGTTGTGATTCTGGTTTGCGACACGAGGGGGTCTGAGGGAGTGCCGAAGGGGAAGGGAGGGAGAAGGGACCACCTGAGGCTTCGCGACGCTCGGCGACCTGCTTCACCATACCATGCATCGTCATCACCTGGGCCTCGGAAGGGGGAGGTGGAATCCCTGGTCGCTGCGGGACAACGGCGACGGTCTCGGCGGCGGCGGCGCCGAACGGCCACGATGCCGACGACGGCGGCGGCGGCGTCGACGCGGACGACGGCGAGAACGACGAGAACGAGGAGGACGACGCGGAGGCGGCGAGGAGCACGGCGGCGGCGGCGAGGAGGGAGGGCGAGGGGAGGGGGGGGCGGGAGGTGGGCTGCCCCCCTTCCCCTCGCCCTCCCTTCGAGGGAGCGCCCCCGCCGCGCTCCTCGTCGCAGGGCGTCGTCCTCCGAGGCTCGCCGTCGCTCTCGCCGCCGCCCTCGCCGTCGACGCCGCCGCCGCCTTTTCGGCACCGTGGCCGTCCCGCGCCGCCGCCGCGGCCGCCGTGCTCCCCGTCGCCGGCGCCGTCCTCCGAGGGAGCGCCCCCGCCGCGCGCGAGCGGTCGCCGCGAGAGCGCCTCTCCGCGAGCGGGCGGGCCGCGGCACGGCCTTTATAGCAGGCGCTCTCGGGCGGCCCCGCCCCCCGCGCGGCCTTGGCGGCGCGAGGGCGGCCTGCCGCCCCCCCCCCTCCTCCCCACGGCGTGCTGCGTGCACGCGCGGCCCCAGGCCTCTGGCGTCGGTCGGAGGACGGATCCGCTCGAAGCTCCGGGGGCGGAAGAGAGGGGGGTGATGACTAGGGGGGGGGGGGGGATATCATGGCGTGGGCCATGATATCTCCCCAGATTTCATGGCGCCTCTGCTTATTTCATTACGTCCCTGGCCCCCCCCGCTGGGCCGCGCACTTTCCGCCGGTCATGATGTGCACCCCCCCCTCTTGGACACTCCCCTCTTGACCGCTCCCGAGAAGAAGAAAGAACGGCATGCGTAAACAGGCAGTCGACCCGCGTAGGAAGGGTGGGCTCCCTTCCCAGGGGTACCCTTGGGTCGGGCCTGTCCCCCTACAGGGGGATTTGGGGAGAGAAATGAAAAATACACCAAAAAACGACTCCCCAAAAATTCAAAAATGATCCAAAAATCGTCCCCAGATTGTTTCCGGACCATTTTTGAATATTCCTCCTGTAGAGGGACAGGCCACATGCCCGACTTAAGGGCACCCGTGCATCCCTGCCTCCTCGGTCCATCCTCGGCCACGTCCGTTGGCCGCGTCTTGCTCGGGAAGCTTCAAGATGGCCTCCCAAGGCCCTTGCATCCTTATCGCGCATCCTTCTGATACGGGTTGACTGTAAACGTTTGGCGCTCTGCGCGGGTTTCTTGGATCCGCGCTGGGCCCCCTGGCGGCTCCTCCGGCGCCGCCCCTGGCGCGCTCCGCGCGCGAGGGAGGGGGGGTCCGGCGCGGATCCAAGAAATCCGCGCGCAGCGCTAAAAGTTCATGGTTACGCCGCTCTTCCTTTCAGAAACGTCACAAGGTCGGGAACTTGTCGGACGGGGCTAGGACGAGGATAGATCCGTTCCAGCGCGTCCCGGAACGCGCTCTAACGCTCTGACAAGGCCGCGGCGCCCGAGGCATCCTCCAGAGCCGCCGGATCTCAGAGATTCCCGAGCCATCCTCCCCGAGTTTGTGCTCGTCCTGGCTTCGTCTAACTCCGCGCCGAGAAGGACGAGGAAGAGGAGGAGGAGGACGGAGGAGAAGGAGGAGGGAGAGGTGGCGGAGGAGGAGGGGGGCGATGGGGGAGGGAGGATGAGGAGAGAGGGAGGGAGGAAGAGGGGAC